GAGTGTCCGAGTATCCGAGCCGGGTTCCTCTTCTAACGGTGTTCGTGTGTGAGTAGGTGAGGGTCCCCAGCGGGATTGGGTGATCTCAAGGTCTGGGCTGCGGATAGATAGGTCACAGGTTAGAGCGAAAAGGCCCTCACGGCTGGGAGGGGGCTGTGGCTGGTCCTTGTGCCCCCGTGTCTTGCCTGACTGTGTGGGGCAGAAGAGCTCCGGATCCCGCCTCTTCCATGCCACTTACACTGTCTTACACTGTCTCCCAGTTCCGGTCCCCAGACGACGTCGAGCACGATGACCCTGAATGGCGGAGGCAGCGGAGCTGGCGCGAGCCGCGGCGGGGGCCGGGAGCGCGATCGCCGTCGGGGCAGCACACCCTGGGGCCCGGCGCCCCCCCTGCACCGTCGAAGCATGCCGGTGGACGAGCGCGACCTGCAGGCGGCGCTGGCTCCGGACGCCTTGGCAGCGGGGGGGGGCGGGGGCGGGGGGGGGGCGGGACCCAGGGTCCAGGGCTGGACTGGCCGGAGGGGTCCTCCGACTCTCTCAGCTCGGGCGGCAGCGACTCAGACGAGAGCGTTTACAAGGTGTTGCTCCTGGGGGCGCCTGGCGTGGGCAAGAGCGCCCTGGCCCGCATCTTCGGCGGTGTAGAGGACGGGCCTGAAGCTGAGGCCGCAGGTGAGGGGTTGGCGCTATTCAGAGGAGGGGAGATCCTAGGGTCTGGAGAGGGCTACCGGGCTGGTGCAAATACCATGGGATTCTAAAGATGCTTTCAGAATCATGCTTGTACATAGCATTGCACAGATCAGGAAACTAAGGAGAAGGGGAGCCCCTGGGCTTTGGTAGGGGAAGAAATACCCAGAGTGGAGGGCCCCAGACATAGATATGACTGCTGTGTGGAAGGGGTCGAGGCATCTCTCCCTGCCAGAGCTGGAAGGAACCATAGGTGACCAAGGACCCCACGGGTGTGACAGTCACTATTGTAACTCAGACCACCATGATCAGAGCCGCCTGGAGCCCAGGCAGCATTGGAGAGGCCACCTAGGACATTACTAGCTTGGAGGGCATGCCGGTGGAGGTCAGGCACAACCTACCGCCACTGCCCCCTCCCCTCCATGGTCCCCCCTTCTGTTGACCAGTGGGAGCTATCTGCAAGTAGAGGGGAGGATTGGGGGGGGGGCTCTGGATAAGAGTTGAGGGTGTGACCAGAACAGGTAATCTGGCAGTGGTGACTTTTGACAACCAGCTGGTAACCTGTCTGTTGGTCTCCTGCCCAGGGCACACGTATGATCGTTCCATCTTGGTAGATGGAGAAGAGGCATCGCTCATGGTCTATGACATTTGGGAGCAGGTAGGAGGCAGACTGAGGTCCAGGGGGGCTGGGAGGGGTGATGGTGTGTGTGTGTGTGTGTGTGTGTGAACAGTTTATGCTGGGGCATGAGGACCCTTAGTAAGTATGTGTGTATGTGTCTCTAGGATGGGGGACGCTGGCTGTCTGGCCACTGCATGGCCATGGGGGATGCATACGTCATCGTGTACTCAGTGACCGACAAAGGCAGCTTCGAGAAGGCGTCAGAGCTACGTGTCCAGCTGCGGCGGGCACGGCAGACAGATGATGTGCCCATCATTCTCGTGGGCAACAAGAGTGATCTGGTGCGCTCACGTGAGGTCTCCGTGGACGGTGAGCAGGCTGCCGGTCAGAAAGGGAGGGAGATCCTGGCTGGGCTTTGGTCCAGTCAGCCTTGGCTTAGCTCAAGTCCCTGGGGATCAGCAGTGGCTAAAAATGTTCAGGATGAAAACTTGGGGGAGGAGGGGAGGGGGAGAGAGCTGCTGTCCACCCACAGGGCTTCCTAAGGCCTGAGAGGTCTGCAGAAAGGATTAAATCTGTTGGAGGAGCTAGCGGATCCTGGGGCCCTCCTCTCCTGTCTCCTTTAGCCCTGGCCTGACAGATGGGGATGAGTGGGTGGAAGAGAGTGAAAGGAACCAGGTCAGGGGGTCAAAGCCTGGATTCCTGGCCTGGGCCAATCTTGGAATAGGCTTGGCCCTGGGAGGACCCTTCTCTCTTTTTAAAAATTTTTGAAGTTTTCATTTGTATTCTTGATCAATTGCACACATAAGAGACAGAGAGGCACCCTAAATCGGATCTTGTCACAACATGATCTCCTTACCCCAGCCCTCCAGCTCTTTAGGGTCTTGGATACATACCTTATGCCCCACCTTCCACCACCCCACCTGGTATGTTTCAGGTCGACCAGGCCATGTTGCTTCCAGCACTGCAGTTTAGTGCGGTACTGGCTCCGCCATGGAGGTTGGGCTCCCTTCTCTCTTGGGCTCAGCATCCTCTGTGGGAAGACCCAGCAGTGACTTGGTAACAATGCCTTCCTCCATCCTACCAGTCATTCGTCAAATCATCAGACACTGAAGCTATCCAACATAGGTCTCATTTTCCAGATGACTGCAGACTTCTGTTTAAAGATTAGATTTCAGATCTTGTCAACAAATGCATCTCCTCTTGTGGGCCACTGTCTTGGAGGCTCCTTAAATGCAGGCACATGTGGCCTATGGGTGATCCTGCCATGACTGGGACCCTCAGTACAGGAACTGGAGTCTCTGTGCTTCTGGGGAGATCTCAGGGCTTCCCCCTTCCCTTACTTGCAGGCGCCTGAGTGGTAGGTGCCGTGGGGTGACCAGGGTTTTGAGTGGGTGCCTCACTCAACCACCTTTTGTTTACTGGTGCCTGTCTGTCCCCACCCACACCAGAGGGCCGAGCCTGTGCCGTGGTCTTTGACTGCAAGTTTATTGAGACGTCTGCGGCGCTGCACCACAACGTCCAGGCGCTGTTTGAGGGAGTCGTTCGTCAGATACGCCTGCGCAGAGACAGCAAAGAAGCCAACGCACGAAGGCAAGCAGGAGCCCGGCGGCGAGAGAGCCTCGGCAAGAAGGCCAAGCGCTTCCTGGGCCGGATTGTGGCTCGCAACAGCCGCAAAATGGCCTTCCGTGCCAAGTCCAAGTCCTGCCATGACCTCTCGGTTCTCTAGGCCCCGTGGGCCATCTCGGCAGTGGGCAGATGAATGGACGGATTGGTGGGCTGGCCCAGCCAACTGCCCTAGGTGCCTCGGAGCTACAGCTGGGCAGCCCTCACCTCATGGTCATGGACAGACAGACAGTGCTGCCCAGGCAGACAGCTCCAGTGGCCAGTGAGGACTGGACCCACAGAGATGCGTGTGCAGGCCCATGTGCATCCCAAGCAGAAGCCAGTGCCTGGCCCATGGGGCAGGCCTGTGTGTGGGGAGAGGAGCCCGCCTGCTCTGGAGGGAGGCTGTTCGGTGCCCTGGCTATTTGTTTACATGCAGATTTTTGTAATAAAGACTATTTCCTGATAGGTCAGGGCTGTTGGCTGTCTTTCTTCCTGTCTGTCTGATGAGGGCTTTAGGAGCAGGAAGGGTTTCTGGCCTTGACTGTTCGGGCTCTGATAGAGCTGGCTGGGACCATGGGAGTAGATTGGGAGCTGAGGAGTAGGAGACACAAGGCCTTACTTGCCCCTGTAATTGAGATCCTCCTTTTGCACTGGGGCTTGGTCTTGCCAGCTGATTGAGGGTTTAACCACCCTATTGTACACGGAGGAAAATAGGCTGCTTGAGGGAGCACACCCTGCCCTGGGTCTGGCCAGACATAAACCTGCCTGGCTCAGCAGCTGGTATTTCATTATTTATTATTATTATTATTTAATTTGTCAGAGGACATGTGCATTTGTCAGGGAGAGAGAGAGAGAGGAGAAAGCACCCCCCCCCTCCGTGGGACACGGTTATGTTGCAATTTCTTTCCTCTATCTCTTCATCTTGCTGGTATTTGTACTTGCATACGTACCCAGGGTGTTTCTCAAGCCTCTGGATTTGAACTGTACCATTAATCATGCGGAATCCAGCTCCCTTAACCACCAGACCATGGAGCCAGTCTGCCAATATTTCTTTTGTTCTTGTTTATTTTTTTTTAGAGATTTTTTTTTTCTCTATAGGGCATGTGTACTCACTGGAGAGACAGAGAGAGACAGAAAGACAGAAAGCGAGAAATCACCCCCCAAGAGGGATGGCCACGCTGCAGTCCCTTCTCCTCCATTCTCCTCTCAGAATTTTGGTCATGCATGCATAAGTGCCTGGAGTGAGGTTTAAACCGCTGAGCCTGGAACTGGTCGACTACCTGGGAGTCCACCTAACCATGACGCCATCTGCTGGTCCCCTTTTGTTCTTTTTTAAAAGCTTGTTTATTGGGGCCAGCAAGTAATACGGTGATTAGGGCGCTAGTCTCCCATATGGCCAACCATAGTTTGAGTCCTGGGCTTGGTGGCTTGCGTTCTCATCTCTATTTCTGTCTCTCTCAGGTGAGCACATGTGCCCTGTAGCAAATGAAAAAAATAAAAATTAAAAATTAAATAATTCTTAAAACGAAAACAGCTTGTTTATTTCTTCTAGGGATGAGAGAAACAAAGACAGAAAACACTCCCAATAGGGTCTTGATCTGTCTCTTGCCTCAGCCAGCCCTAGGTCATGGGCATGCATGCACGTGCCTAGTGTTTCTAGGGAAGTCTCCAGAAGCAAACCTGGAACTTTCCCATGTGTGTCAGCCTGCAGAGTGCCGTGTTTCACTACTGTGCCCAAATCCGGGCCCCACAGCTGGTGTTTTTGCCCTGATCTATCCTGAAGGGCTGGGAATCAGCTGAGATGGGGAATGGGGGTAGGAGAAAACACCTAAGAGGCTTCCTGTGGGGTAGAGGTAGGAGGGTAAGAGCTGGGGTTCAGGGGGCTCATTCAGGCACCGTTGACTCCAGATGACTCTTCTACTACCAGACTACGGTTGGGCTCCTGAGGGGCCCTCACTCTTCTCCACTCACTGTAAGTGGCCAGGCCACAGCATCCTGTGCTCATTCTGACCAACTGGGTCTTGGTGCAAACAGATCCCTGGAGCCCTCCCTAGTTAAGACGAGAGGTTTTGTATTTGTGTAGGGATGTGAACTGTGCACTTACTGGAGGTGTGCCTGTCCCCCCATCCACCATGCTGACAGGAGAGCCCAAGGCAGGTGCTTGGCTTGTCACAAGGTTGAGAGTAGGTGAGGGGACCTGGCTCAGCTTCCAGCTTGAGGGAGACTAACCAGATATGCAGTGGGAAAGGATTCAGGGAGACCCCGGAAGCTCCAAGGATGAGGAGGGGCCAGATACCAGGATCTTCTGTCCGTCTCCCCTCGTGTTGGACTCCTAGGCCCTGGCTCTGCTTGGCTGCCCTGAAGGGGGAAGGGCCCTTGATCAGCCCTGCAGTTCCCTCAAGGTCACCTGAGCTGGTTCAGTCCTCTTTCCTCCTTGAGGCACGAGACAGTGCATTAATCCAACCTGTCAGCATTCAGTGGCTGGAGTGAGGACTTGGGGAGCCTCAGGAGAGCTCAGGTTGCTGTCCTCCACTCACCGGTCCCATTGGTAGGTGGTCTGGAGCCCCAGGTACCCAATTCAGGCCATGCACTGCTCATCCAACATTTCTGCAGCCTCTGGTTCCTTGCCTGCTTCCACGAGCTAGCCAGGAGCTGGCAGGGCAGGATGAACCAGGTCACGACTGGTCCCTGATACCTACTCCCAGTCTAATGGAAGAGACAGACAACACGTTGGTATCTTCTGTGCATTGAATAGAGTTAGCATATGGTATGGGGTGGGGGTGGGGGACACTCCCAGAGGAGACCCCAGAACCAGCCTGTGAACACCGGGGAGGCTTCCTAATAGAGGAATATTTGAGCTGAGCACCGAAGCAGGATGCTCACCAAACCGATGAAGAGGCAGGAAGGGCATTGCGGGTAAAAGGAAGAGAGTATACAAAGGTGCAGCTGCCAATGCTAGAGCCCTGGGGAGAAGGGGGACTGAGTCTGGAGCTACAGAGAAAGAAGTAGTGACCAAGCCCATAGGGCCGGGGCATACCTACTGAGCTGTGTTGGGTTGGGGGTGGGGGTGTCAGGTCTAGATCTGCCCACGTCCATGGGCTGACAGTCACGGATGCTGAGCAGCTCCCAGCTTCCCATAGTCAATGAATAACCTGGGAGGCTGGGCACAGCCAGTCCTGCTGCTATGGGCCAGTGGCGTTTTCCACTCCTGAGCAAGCATAGCTGGACCGCCTACCTGCTCAAGTGTCCGCCTTGCCCCATCCCACCCGGCCTGGCCTGGCCAGAGCTCCCTGGAGACGGAATCCTCTCACCTAGCAGCTGGACCAAGGGAGCCAGCCTTGGGCACTAGCAGGTGAGGGCCTGGGAGCAGAGAGGTGGGCAGGGCTGAAGCTGGGGTTGACGGTGGGGAAGGAGAAACACCTCCCTGTCCTTCTATTGTCCAGGGAAGAATTCCCTGGGGTCCATCTTAGAGTGCCTGTCCATTTGTCAATGCTCTGTGTGCTAGCTCCACGCTGAGTACTGGGAAATGCCAAGGTGAGGAGCCTTGGGGCGCTTTGAGGCTGGAGGGTGGCCGTGGGAGACGGGACAGTCCTAGAGATCCCGGGCTAAGAGCCCTCTGTTCTAGGAGGAATCCTGCAGTCAAGTCCTCTGTGACCTTGGCCAGGCCCTGCCCAGCAAACTTGTCTGTAACATGAAGTGGCTACAGGAAGTGACCCTCAGAGTCATCAGGGTTTTTCCAGCTTCAAATTTTTTGTGATTTTGGGAGCTGCCGGGAAATGGCCGCTTTGGGATCTCCAAGCTGGGGAGGGTATGGTGGGACAATACAAAGGTCTGGAGGTGAAACTCTTGTGGAGGTCCCGTGGAGGCAGGAGCCAAGAGGCAGGATTGCTGGACTAGGAGCCTTGGTGGGCCTGGCTGGGAACTAGGTGCTGCTCTGCAGGTGACAGGGAGCCTCAGGCCCTTCAAAGGGGAGGAAGAAGAGGCCAGTCTGTAGTGGGGTCTCTCTGGCTGTGTGTGGGATGGAAACCTTGCTCCTGCCGATACGGGTCGGTCCTCACTGCCATGTCCCTCAGGCCCGTCCTGACCATGGTCCCTGCCTGGCTGTGGCTGCTTTGCCTCTCCACGCCCCAGGTGAGCTGGGCCCTGTGCCCTTCCTTCAGGTCCTGACCTTGGGATCGTCACTCTTGCTCCCAGCATTCCCTGGACCAATTGCATTGGCCATGGAGTAGAGCGAGGGTGAGGGTTTCAGAGCTGGGGCTGTGGGCCTACGATGGGACCAGAAAGGAAGGGTCAGAGAGTGGATGAATGATGGGATGGCCAGGCCCAAGGAAGAGGCAGAAATTCCCCTTCCCTGTCAGGTCCCCAGGGCCCAGGAAGGAAGATAGAGCCTGGTGACAAGGTGAGTATGTTCCCACAGACCCTCCCCAAGGCCCAGTCTGCAGACCTGCACGTAGAAGTCCCCGAAAACTACGGTGGAAATTTCCCTTTGTACCTGACCAAGGTGAGCCTGAGAACTGGGCAGACTACTCTCCCCCAAAGTCCTGCTTCTGCCTCCAGTGCCCCTTCCTCTTCCTTGCGCTCTCTCTCTTCTCTTTCTTTTTTAAAATTAACTAGAGGATGTACGCACTCACCAGAGAGAGGGAAAGGGAGAAAGGATTCCCCAGTAGGGTGTGGTCCTATTGCAACCCCTTCTTCATTTCTCCATCCTGCTGGGATTTTGAGTGTGCACACACATGCACCCAGTGTGGTTTTCAAGCTATCAAGGATGAGACTCCAGTCACGTGATTGGCCATGTAGGATATGGCTCCCATAGCCACCAGGCCACACGACCCCACTTTATCTATTTTAAACCCTGATTTCAAAGACTTTGTACTATACTGTGTATGAGTAACAAAATTTTAACCCCAAAAGAGAGTAGAGGTGTTTTTTATTAAATTATTTATTTAAAAAAATTTATTCATTCGTTTTATTTTTAGTTTGACCAGAGAGAGACACAGGGAAATAAAGAGGGAAAGTGAGAAAGCAAGCCACCAGGTCTGGGACCTGAACTGTGGTCGGCCATGTGGGAATATCCAGCACCTTAACCACCATGCCACCTGCTGGTGCCAAGAGAGTAGAGCTTTAAGTTAAAGAACGAAATATTGGTGGTGAGGGTGAAGCCTCAGAAAGAAGGGTGGGAGTATCGGGGAGCAGCAGGAACAGGAAAAGAGCTCTGGCTTTGACTCCAGCAAGTCCCGTCGCTCATTGGATGTATGACCACAGGCAAGGGCCAGCCCTCTCGTAGGCTCAGTTTCCCCAAATATAAAATGGGGCCATTGGGTGGAGGGGGCACCCCCAGGTATGGCTCCTGTCCCTTCCCCTCTGTTCTCACCCACCAGCTGCCACTGCCCCGTGAGGTGGCTGAAGGCCAGGTTGTGCTGTCAGGGGGCCCAGGCATGGCAGCTGAGGGACCTTTTGCTGTGGATCCAGAGTCTGGCTTCCTCTTGGTGACCAAGGCCTTGGACCGAGAGCAACAGGCAGAGTACCAGCTACAGGTATGGCTGGACCAGGGGTAGGGACGAGTGAGCAAGGCAGGGCTGGGCGCTGACCACCCTTCTCTGCAGGTCACCTTGGAGACCGAGGATGGACATGTCCTGTGGGGCCCACAGCCTGTCCTTGTGCGTGTGAAGGATGAGAACGATCAGGTGCCCCATTTCTCCCAAGCCATCTACAGAGCTCGGCTGAGCAAGGGCACGAGGCCTGGTGAGTGACCAGGGAAATCACTGTACAACAAGGTCAGGTGGGCACCCAGGGGACAGCAAAGGAAAGAGATGGCCAGACGGTGGGCAAAGGGACAGGGCAGCCAGGGCTCAAGCTGCCCCCCAGCATTTCTGTCCCATCCTGCGCCTGCTACCCTACTAAGGGTCCCGTCCATCTTGGGCTTAGTTTGCTCATCTGTGAAGTGGGCTGGAAAGCGGTGGCTCACCTCTCCTGTAGCGATACAATGAGGATGATGGAAGGAAGGACCAGGGAGAGATGGGAAGGCATGGGAGACTCTCCCCACCCTCCCCAGTCCCTTACAGCTTGCCCTCCCCACCCCCATACACCAGGCACCCCCTTCCTCTTCCTCGAGGCTTCAGATGGGGACGAGCCAGACACAGTCAACTCGGATCTTCGATTCCACATCCTGAACCAGGCCCCAGCCCAGCCTTCTCCAGACATGTTCCAGCTGGAGCCTCGGCTGGGGGTTCTGGCCCTCAGCCCCAAGGGTGAGTCTGCACTGGTTGTGATAAAGAGGGAGGGTCAGAGAAGGCGGGAGAAGGGGCCTGCCGGGCTGTAAGAGAGGATGGGTGGAGCTTGGGCGATTAAGAGGGAAAGGGCAGTCCAGGTGGAGAGAGAGGCAAGACCAATGGCCATGCTTAAACCATACGTGGAGGCAGGGCCTTACAGGGGAATTAGGAAACGGGGTGAAAGGAGTACCTCAGCGTGGCTTCTGCAGACCTGGCCCTATGGGACAAAATCAGGAGCAGTCTGAGGGGCTGCTGGAACACATGGGACTAATGGTAGGAGAGATCTGGGTCTGGGAGTTCAGGCCAGAGGCGGAGGCTGGGGATGTGAGGAAAAACGAATTGTGTACCAGCCCAGTCTACCACCACTCACTCACCTACCACCTGGCCCAGCCTACCACCCACTCACACCCACCTACCACCCGGCCCAGCCTACCACCCACTCACACCCACCTACCACCCAC